CTAACTGACAAATAAGCACGTGTGCGAGTATTCGTTCGTTACTGGTCAGCGTTACAATCAAGATGGCGGACGGGCCAGGGGCGGACGGACTATTGTGAATCGTGGTCGCATTTCGTGGGATTTTAGGTTTTATCGTTTTACAAAATGCCACTAAAGGACCTTTTTGCCAAGGCTCCACCTCCGCTACCTCCAAGTGAAGAACCTTGGCCCCGACCAGAAACTTCTAGGGAGACAGTCAGACAGTCTTCACTTCACTCGGCTACCGCCCGTCCAACACTCGACGAATTCTTGCGGACAAATTATCTAATGATCCCAGACTTCTTGTTGAAAGTCACCCAGGCAAAGGTAGCGGCAAGAATGGGGAAAAGTAGTCATGATTTCCAGAGTGCGGCATCTAAGCAAAGCATGTTAACTTTTGGAACTGTACAAGGGCGTAGCACTTCTTCTGCTTCAGCTAATGTTTCCCCTTGTAACATCGTTAGCAATACCGATAAAGAAGTGAAAATTATTGAAAGCAGGGGAAAACAAGTAAAAGAACCAACAGCAAATCCCGCAATTCGTAGCACTAAGAACAGTGATATGCTATGTACTGTACTTTCACGAAAGCAAAGCTGTGAAGAAATTCAGGTTCCCCCACCATTGAAACCAAAGCCCAGGGTTAAGAAAGTAATGAGAGGAGGGTCCTTAGTAACCATTCCTCCCCCACAGCCCAGAAGACAGGAGTCTGTCAAAGATGGTGGAAAAAGCACGTTTTCTGATACTAATGTATGTTTAATGAGCAGTCTGGAAGGCAGAGATGCAGCTTGTGATGTTTGTGAGAGAAGCATTCAGGAAATTGTGGAAAATCCAAGTTTCAAAGAAACTCATGACGATCAGGAGCTTGCAAAGAAAGAGGGTTCAATCAACTCTGGTTTTGAAGCAGATAATTTAGAGACAAAAGTTTCCAGCCGGGACAACAGAGGGTCTGGAACAGAAGTTTTAACAGAGGATTGTGAGGTAAAACAGGTCCCATTAACCCACTGTGATACTGCAGTATCAGAAAAAAGTCACAACACCTCATATGGAAATTCAAATGACAATTTTAATGAATCTGACAGCAATACCTGTCCAAGTGCCACACCTAAAGCAGATGAAAGCATTAATTTACTTAGTGAGGTTCCTGAGGTAATTCTGGATAAGGGCTCTGAGAAGGTATCTAATAAAGAACATCAAGGGGAGTTCACATCAGGCCTGAAAAGTGGCTCTTACGGGAAAGCTGCTATTGCCAAAGACAGTGAAGTTAACAGTGAAGACCTAAGGCTTAGTGAAAATCTTGAAAGGGCCCTTTGTGACGATCTTGATGGGATGCCACCTGTTTTAGACCCAGAAGAAATGACAATCTGTAAGGACCCTTTGGAAAAAACTAAGACAGAACTAACGCCACAAGGCATAGTCATTGTAGACCCTCAGCTAATAACTATGGATAACCCCATTATCAGGGAGAAATCAGCTGATTTGCCACATAAATTAGTCATACAAAGTTCCATTATGAAACAAACCCTGGCCAATAATAAGGAAGGTCAGTCTGCCAGAGAACCTAGTGAGAAGAATGCCAGTGGGAGCAACCCTTCAGAAAAACTTGTTAATGACAAAGAGGACAAACATCTTAATGATTTTGGTGATAAGGACAATGAAATTTATTGTTACAATGATGAGCAGAATGTCCCTGCTAA